CAAACCCCAGCGCGCTGGCCCAAAAGGAAAAGTTCACGGCGGGGTAAGCAAAGCAGACGCGCAGCAGGCCGCCGCCAAGGGTACGGGACACGCCAGCTTTCGAGCCTCCCTATCAGCAACTGCTGCCCTCGCTTCACAGCCTCCTAACTACGCACATGCCGCAGCGCCGAAACATGCCGTTAGGGATTTAAGAACGGGCTAAATCCCGATTTCACTTGTCTGCCGCTGTTTTGCTTTCAAAGTTTTTAAAGCTCTTAGACCCCCCCTCCCCCCCCCCATAATTTAACTCCCTTTATGCCAGTGAACGCGAGGGAACAAGCTGGAGCTTCCTGCTTCGGACGCAAAGGAGAGGGAACACCGCCAACATTTCAAAAAGCACAAGGCTTTTGTTTAAGATTTGGTTCCTTTAAGGGGGTGGGGGGGGAATCTCTTGTAATCAAACTTATCAATCGCTCTACGGACTGCAACGCTTTTCTGTTCTTTAAAAGAGCTGACGGTCCTCTTGCTAAAATGGATGCAAGAGCTAGGACTCTGTTTTTAAAGGAAAACATCCTAAACGTCCCAACATGTGTGATAAAAATCCCAAGCAGCAGCGATGCTGGGAAAGCCAGATTGCATTCCTCAGGTCTGCCTTTCCGCCTCGGCTACTGCCAGGCCAGCGGTTGTGCGTTTGCAACCGGCCGCGCTGGAAAACTTCCCCAGACTTCTCAAAATGTTTTTTCAATTGTGTCCTTGAGCAGTTCCAGTTCTTTGTGCATTTTATCGGGCTGAATTTCCACTGAAACAGTCCCCACAGCAGCAGCAATCTGTAACGTGCCTGCAGCAACCTTCAATTACTTGTGAAAGTTTAAGGCTCGTCTAAGACCTTATCTTCATAGCTAAAAAGGTGCATTTCGCCCCCCCAAGGGCAATAAAAGCGTATGAGCTAAGCTGAGGGAAGCCTGCAGTAAAGACAAGCCACATGGAGTGTTTCATTGCTTACAGCAAGCCAGTAGAGTTTTTAAATAATAAAACAACGTTCATCTGAAAAGTCGTGCTGGTTTAGCTCAAGTGGTGTAACATCAGGCGGAAGCAATTTTATGTATAGCATCTTTCTGTGTAGCAACTCTTATGTTTAAAAAATATATCGGGAGAGCCCAAATCCCTAACTCTGCATGGAATAAAGGGATTAAAGCAAAAATGGGAACCCCCTCATGGCACAGCCGTATACCCATAATCACAACACCCCACGACAAGCTTCCTAGGTAGGCTGACGCTGCGTGGTGGCCACGCGCAGCAATGGGCACAGAACAGCTACGAATCGTACCAATCGGTCCCCACGCCCGGGGAGCGAGACTGGATTTGTTTCTTTACGAGGCTGATCACGTAGAAGTTGGTTTTTAAACCACAAAACGTGTTTAGCGCTCCATGCAATTCTCTGCTTTTCCCGTAAGGTTTAACGTGCCCATTCCTTCCGCTCTCAGGAGTTGAGGGACACTGGGGTTCTCCCGCCCCTCTTATTTTTAACAACTCAAAAAGCAGTGGAGATTTCTACAGCCCGCACTAGGGGTCTTCCCCTAGCACATCTCTGCTCACCTGGACCCTCTGTTCCACATCTTTCTTTTCTGAAGCAGAAACAACAGTACTGCAGGGGAAAGCATTTACTCCCGTCTGGGTGGTTTAGGCTATTATCAGCTCAACGGTGCAGATCGACATGTTTAGCCAACCACCCGGCAGTACTGTCAGCAGGTAAAGCCCATGCCTTTCTCTAACCTCGCCCTCTGTTTCTTCACTTGCTGTATGCTGATACAAGCTGCGAATGTTCAAACCCTGCTGAAGGCACAGGTCCAGGGCAAGGCTGTGCAGCTCTTTCGGGGCTGCTGCGGCCAAAGAGAACAATGGAAATGGGTAAGACGACTCGAGACTTAACTGCCTTTTACTTGCTTTTGCAGCAAAACTGCTGCTTGATCTTTCGCTGACTTTGAGCAAGTGGCAGGCTGACGGGAACGGTTTCCGAAGCCAGCTGAGCTTGAAGAGCCGTTGGGAAGGTGGGCGCTGGGATATCGGCGCTCCTTCCGACGGCGCTCCGCGTCCTGCTCTTTTCCGTTGACAGACGAGTTTCATTCTACTGTACTCAGTCTTCGGAAAAAAAACAACTGATTTCTGCACTGTTTGAGAGGACAAAACATTTTCTAATTATTTAACACTGTTTCTCTCTGTAAGAGGCATTTGACTGGTAGCCTCAGTACCCTTGAATGGGTATTCAGTTCTTGCAATTTTAGTAAACAGCAGCATGACATTACGCATAGTCCCTAACAATTCGTTTGCGCTCCTGACCAGCAGTCCCTAATGATTCATTTGCACTCCTGACCAGCAGTTTTTATATTTCCTGGCGAAAGATTCAGAAACATCCACGTAGCGAATTCAACAGCACGCACTGAATAAAAATAGGTTGAACTAGTTACCTTTATTCAGAGACTCTCTGGTTCCCGGTCCATCTTTCTGAGGCTCCTGCATTTTGCCAAACCAATGTCATCCTACAAATCAAAGCTCTACCATTCACAGCAGTTAATCCCACTCATTAACCACACCCCTCTTCCACGGACACTTTTTAGAAGACTTTGTAGTCGTCCCCCCCCCCCGCTATATTCCTGGCAGGGATAATCAAAACCTTGAGGTTTTCACTGCTTTCCTTTCAACTTCAACCAGCCAGTGTTTATACTTGCAGATTAAAATGAGATCTTAATGCTTTCTAAACATAAAAAAAAAACCTTAGAAGTTGCCTGACTGTGCAAGCAGAGAGGTTTTGAAACAGTTTTCCAACAAGGGCAGTTACTCTAGTTCTCTTAAAAGGAGCTTAGGTTTATTAAGGAATGATACGAAAATATGCCAATGAGAGCAGAGAATAGGACTCTATGATGCTGGATGTCCACTGCAGCTCCAGCATTTCATGCAAATATTACAGAGCGACATGAACATGGGAAACACAGTTTAGGCAGGTTTCCCCCTCCATCCTGCCCCCCATCCGAGCTCATCAGAAAACAAGATCCTTCACAGTGATGAACTGACAAAAGAAGAAAAAAAGCAAAAATTTGCAAGGGAGAGAAATTCTCTGGAACAGTTCAAGAGGCCTATTTGGAAACAAAGGATTAAAACTAAGGACGTTTCGGCTACAAGTTTGTAACTTCTTCGCAAGCAAAAGCAGCAGTAATGACAGAGCTCCAGGAACACTTTAAGCTGTCATACACCAGTGCCATGACCAAAATACGCACTGCTGCCAGCCCCACAAGCGGCAGCAAACCGCTTCAATCACGGCAAACCCGAGAAAGGAGCTAAGACTAATCTAGTCCAAAAAAACCCACGCAATCCCTCCCCAAAAGTTTTAACTTTGTATTCACACCCCAAAGAAGCCCACGTAACACAACAAGGTTCAGGCCAGTTCTCAAGTTCTCCGGCAGAGCCAAAAGGGGAAAAATTGATTTAATTCAGTTCTGAGACTGCAGTTCTAGGTGAAGCAGGAGATGGCATTAAAAAAACATGCTCATATGAGGGAGATGGCTGCTGTATGATTTGTAAACAGTAAATAGTTCCTATAATAGGATTTATAAAATCTGTGAGTCTTAGAGTGGTATAACGACATGAAAGGCTGTTTAAGCTAAAAGGAATGCTCCAAGTTCGTGAATACAGCAGACTGTCTGCCAGGACATGGGCAAGAACCAGGGATGCCTCTACACGGTGTGCTGAAAGCCAGTTTGCGTGAAGATGGGAGCTGTTAGAGTTGTGTTGGTATAAATCCAACAGATGCGTTCCTGCTGGAAGGAACCCCTCCCCGGAAAAAGCTTGGAATAAAGGAAGATGAAAGATGGAGAGGCCATCTTCACATGTGAGGGAAAGAAAGAGAAGATGTGGCTTTAGAAAGCTGCTGAAACCCACCTTGGAGCACGCGAGTAAGTTTTGAGGGGTCAGTAGTTCTCTTCCAGGCTTCCTGGAGCAGAATGGTTCTCTCCAGAGTCACGGAGAAGCATACCTATCTCCACAGAAATGGGCAGTGAGAGGGGAAGCAGGTCCTTGAAAACTGCAAACCAGCCAGCTTACCTTCAATATGAGAACAGCTACCGTAACCAATTATTAATCAATTAATAAGGACCTAGAAGGTAACAGGCAGACGACAAACTAACACTGACTGTAAGAACACCTCGCGCCAATTCAATCTAATCTCCCTCTCGGATGGGATAGCAGGCTTAGCGGAGGAGGGGGAAACAAGGAATGATACAAATTCGTCCCTCAGTGGTGAGAGATGCTCTAAAGCTTTTTACCTGCTTGAGAGGACAAGACACTCCAAACTTTTTCTTTACACAGCAATCTACGCACTAGCGGGACCCACTGTATTAGGGGCCACAGATGTACTTTTGAGCAGCCCCTGCATGAACTGCCTCCAGAATATATGCATTTTGCAATCACTGGTGAAAATGTGGAAGAAGCTTCCTCTGGACAGAAACATATAAGGAAATAAAGCAAGGTCTTGGTATAACCACTTTCCAGATGGATACCAAATTAACTGAAAAACTACTTTCCAAGAGTATTCAACTGTCATGCCAGATGAGCGTTGCATGTGGGCCACCGGGGCTAGCTATGTCCTAAACCCTCTCTTCATTACGGGCTTCAGCGGTGAATTAAAATGAGTAATTTCAATGGATGACTCCAGACAGGACAAGGAAGGAAGAGAGAGAGAGAGGTGCAAGCACTCTGAACAGGTTCGCAGCACAGGTTGTTACTGCTGCTCAAGAGGCAGCTCTGGCTTTCCTCTTGCTCATTCTCACCCCAACGCTGCCTGTATCTTTTTTTTTCTTCCCCCCTTGGACCATTTTAAATTGAATCCATTCCATCAAACAGCTATGCAACACCAATGCTGGAGCAAGGAGGAAGGAAGAGGTGTTGTTGACTTTAATGCTGTAAAACTTCACTATCAGTTTGCTGTAGGAAGTAAATCACTTCTTTTCACGTAGCATGGGAAGGCTTCGTCAGGATTAAACTCTTCGCGCTGTGGTCTTGAGAGACAAGAACTGGAGACAGCTAGAGAACAACGGAAATGACAAGGCATTAAGGAAACACCAGGAAATGCTCAAGAACCAGATTAGTCTAGTCAAGCAGGGAAAGAAGGAAACCACAACCAAAAAAGACTAGGAGGAAGGACAGGGAAGTCACATTAGAAGTCTGCCAATACAAAAAAAACCAAAAAAACAAAAAAAACACCCCACACTCTTACATAAGGATCAGTTATTAATTGCTCTCTACAGCTACCGGGCAAAAGAGAAATAAAAGAAATCAGCCGCATTTATAACAAAGGAGATTTTGATTAGATATTAGGCAAAATTTTCCAAGCATTCAGACACTGAAACAAAGGCAGCTGCGGAGGATTTTAAGAACAGATGACAAATGTCTATTAGGAGTGGTTTAAGTATTCTTGATCGTGCCTCAGTGTAGGGGAGCAGACTGCACGTGTCCCTTCCAAAACCACTTGAAGGACTGTATTTAACAAGTAGACATTTATTCCCCCACCTCCAACTACCTTCATTTTGTAGTTTAAAATTCTCCTCACCAGTTTAACAAGCCGTTTCCTTGAAAAATTGAATTTCTCTTTCTCTGTTCATGGGGGAATGCTTCTCCTTTGACAACTTTCCAGGCTCCCTTAAGTTATCTACAATCTGTAACAGTAGCATCAGGATTGATAGGCAAAAATCTATCAATGTGGGTTTGTATCAGAGACATTAAATCGTATCTTGGGCTTTCTGTCTGAGAAGATGCAACCAATTTCTTATCTGTTTCTTCCCTCAGAAGGTTCTTTCCATTTTTCTTGATGTAGAATTTGCAGGGTAGAGCATCCTCCTCAAAAAACATGAGTGCACTTGATTTTCTTAGGAACCAGGCTGAGGAACTCACCACAAGCGTGGTATGTACATCTTTCTTAATCGTGGTAGCTGAACCTTCCTGTATGTATCCACCGGTTCCATGTGGATGCCCTCGCTCGCTCCCAACCTCCCATCTGCTGCACATCTTTATCTTCCAAGGCTTACATTGGGCAACTGTCTTAATATATTATTAACCCTTACTTCTTAGTTAGGTATTACAGCCAATACTGTATCTTTACATCAACATTGGGTTTTACTAGTTGCCTTGCTCAGATCACTTCAAAAATCCAGCCTTCCTATCCCATGGCATTCTCTTATTTCAGAGTTGGAGTCTTCAAATACTCATAAAAACTAGCTTAAAAAAAACAGGTTTACCACCTGCAGCTAAAACCTACCATGATCACAGAATCATCGGAGCTGGAAGAGACCTCTGGAGACCGTCTGGTCCAACCCCCCTGTTCAAAGCAGGGTCAATGACAGCAGGTTGCCCAGGACCACGCCCAGTGGGGTTTTGAATATCTCCAAAGACAGAGACTCTACAGCCTCTCCCGACAACTTGTTCCAGTGCTTGACTACCCCCGATGTTGGTACGCATTGATAAGGTCCCCCGTGAGCCTTCTCTTCTCCAGGCTGAACGTTCCCAGCTCTCTCAGCCTCTCTTTGTATGACACATGCTCCAGGCCCTTCATCTTCATGGTCCTTTGCTGGACTCACTCCAGTATATCCATGTCCCTCTTGTACTGGGGAACCCAGCACTGGACCCAGCACTCCAGGTGTGGCCTCACCAGTACTGAGTATGATGACAGAGTAGGATTCAGGTGCCTAAACCTCAGCATCTAGGGGTGCCTTTCCAGACGCTATAGGATGTCCAAGAGATCCCTGCAGGACTTGGCAGGTGGGAGACCCACAGCCTTCTGGACTGGAAGCTGGAGACCAGGCTGAAAATAGGGCAGCTGTAAGGGCATCAGATGCCTAGGTGTAGGCAAGCAAACCCAGCCCATGCTGCCTCACATAAAACAGAGGCAGTAAGTATGCATTGTCTTTGCTTACTTTTATCAAGTTTTGTTTGACAAGTTTCATGACAAGGACTTTGTTTTCATACATATTTGTATAGTACTTAACATGGAACTCCTAATCTTAACTGAGCTCTGTGGGCTCCACAAGTTCACTACGATGTAAGAATCTCAAAGAGAACGACCAAAACCTAGACCTGAAACAAATATTTGTGTCTCAAATTAAGCTGAAAGAATTAAGCCATGTCAAGAGACAGCATCTTTCATGTTTTTAATAATAAAAACACTAGTATTTTTCTAAACCAATTCTGCAGATTTTAAGCTATTTAACTAAGTCCATAAGCTTGCTCAGTATTTGATAACAAAAAAATCAAAGCATCATTGAGGTTGGAAGGGACCTCTGGAGATCATCTAGTCCAACCCCCCCCCCCCCCCCCCCCACAACAACAAGACCAAGCAAAAACACCGACATGCGTTGCTCTGGACTGTGTCCAGGTGTTTTGAATATCTCTGAAGACAGAGACTCTACCACCTCTCTGGGCAACCTGCTCCAGTGTTCAATCACCCTGAGGGCAAAAAAAGTTTTTTCTTACGTTTAAATGGAATTTCCTGAATTTCAATGTGTGCCCATTGCCTCTTGTCCTGTCACCGGATACCACTGAGAATAGTCTGACTCCATCTTCTTCACATCATCCGTCATATAGTTATACATATTGATAAGGTCTCCTTGTGTCTTCATCAGGGTGTCAATGTGGATGTTATGAGAGACAGTGTGAGGACATGATGAGTAACAAGAAGTTTCATCAGCAGCAAAAGGAAGGCTAGGGAAAACATAGGCCTGCTGCTGAGAGGGGTAGGGGACCTGGTGTCAGAGAACACGGAAAAGGCCGAGGTACTCAATGTCTTATTCACCTCGGTCTTTACTCGTAAGACCGGCCCTCAGGAATCCCAGGCCCCTGAGACCAGAGGGGAAGTCTGGAACAAGGCAGATTTACCCTTGGTGGAGGAGGATCAGGTTAGGAAACGCTGAAACAAACGGGACATACACAAGTCCATGAGCCCTGACAGGACGCACCCATGAGTGCTGAGGGAGCTGGCCAACGCCACTGTGAGGCCATTCTCAATTAGCTTTGAAAAAGTCATGGTGATTGGGAGAGGTTCCTGAGGACTGGAAGAAAGCAAATATCACTACTATCTTAAAGAAGGGCGAGGAGGAGGATATGGGGAACTACCGGCTGGTCAATCTCACCTCGATCCTTGGGAAGGTCATGGAACAAATCCTCCTGGAATAATCCTTCTTGGATACCGTTTCCAAACACATGAAGGACAGGAAGGGGACTGGGAGTAGTCAGGCATGGATTTATGAAGGGGAAATTGTACTTAACCAACCTGATAACCTCCTATGACGAGATGACTGCCATGGTGTACGAGCGGAGAGCAGCAGGTGTTGTTTATCTTGACCTCAGTAAGGTTTTCAACACTGTCTCCCATAACACCCTCATTGACAAACTGATGAACGAGATCAGCCTACAGTGAGTTGGACTGAAAACTGGCTGAACTGTTGGACTCATAAGTCCAGCTGGAGACCAGTCACTAGTGGTGTACCCCAGGGGTTGATACTGAGGCAGTATGACCCGGACATGGGACAGACCCCTTAGCCAGTGTGTAGATGATACAAAACTGGGAGGAGGAGCTGATACACCGGATGGCTGTGCTACCATTCAGAGGGACCTTGACAGGTTGGAGAAACGGGCAAACGGGGACCTCATGAAGTTCAACAAAGGGAGATGCCAAGTCCTGCCCCTGGGGAGGAATAACCTCAGGCACCAAGACAGGCTGGGAGTCAACTGTCTGGAAAGCAGCTTGGCAAAGAAGGCCCTGGGGGTTCTGCAGGACAACTTGACCATGAGCCAGCAATGTGCCCTTATGGCAAAGGCGGGCACCAGCCTCCTGGACTGCATTAGAAAGAGCATTGCCAACAGGTTGAGAGAGGTGATCCTTCCCCTCTACTCAGCACTGGTGAGGCCTCACCTGGAGTGCTGGGTCCAGTGCTGGGTTCCCCAGTACAAGAGGGACATGGATATACTGGAGTGAGTCCAGCAAAGGACCATGAAGATGAAGGGCCTGGAGCATGTGTCATACAAAGAGAGGCTGAGAGAGCTGGGAACGTTCAGCCTGGAGAAGAGAAGGCTCACGGGGGACCTTATCAATGCGTACCAACATCGGGGGTAGTCAAGCACTGGAACAAGTTGTCGGGAGAGGCTGTAGAGTCTCTGTCTTTGGAGATATTCAAAACCCCACTGGGCGTGGTCCTGGGCAACCTGCTGTCATTGACCCTGCTTTGAACAGGGGGGTTGAACCAGATCCAGAGGTCTCTTCCAACCTGGAGGTGATTTTGTGATTCTATGAAAAGCCTTGTTAAAGTCAAGACAAACCATATCCACTACACTCCCTCTGCACATGTTAAATTTGTAATGGATCAGCTAAGCTTTGATTTCTACGCTGTTAGCCCAACTTCCAATATAAGTGGCCAATTACCTTTACAACTATTAGCTTTATGCAGCAGTCTAGAACTGCTTAAGGCCTGCTGCTTGGCCTTAAGCTGGAAATGCAACAGGAAAGCCATTAAAGATTATAGCTCAGTTTAGCTCACCCCATCAACTGTTAATTCAACCACTCTGTAGCTTTAAGCACAATTTTAAAGTGGTGAGGTCTATGGCATGAAAAAGCGGTCAGAGTATATAGCAGGAGTACCAGTTAGTCTAGCCTAATTTAGAGTCTCTATGACAAAATCATACTCAAACGATAAGGTAACAGTAACGTGCATGCGTTTGGGGGCTAAGACCCTCCACGATTCTCTCCAAGACGGTTCCAGGAAGTTCAAGCAGGCATAAAGGACTACCAACACTCGGATGATCACCATGTGCCTTGCTGCAAAACAGACACTTTCCAGACAATTCAAGAGAAGCAGAGGATTAAAACTGCTCTTCTAAAAACAGCATTGGTACTACGTAGGTATTCCTGCAGCATGGCTGGATATTCCCATTCAAGCTAGGGTTGGATCAAACTGACTATATTTAAGCATGACGGACCCAACTAGCATGACGGACCCAACTAACTGCGAGTGAAGATGGACTCGGCGAGAGTTTCTGAGAACCAGAAAGCGAAAATAAAGCCCATGGAGGGCTGTATTCTCTGCTCCAGCTGTGGAGGAACCACTCCCAGCTGTTTGTCTCGGCTTCCTTCCTGACAGCTATTCTACTCATGGGTTCAGCAAATCGTTTCATGCGAGGGCTTCCCAATTTGCTCAGAGTCAAGGTTAGCGGGGTAGTTCAAACCACCAATTTAAGCTGTTTAAGCTAATAGTGCCAATTTTTCCTGAAGCAAATCAGAGGATGCTGACACAAGCATGAATCAGGAGACTGGTAACACACTTGAAAAGGAACAGTTAGGGCAGCGGCTTCTTTCCTAGCTGGATGGGTAAGAGGACATTTATCCATAGCCTACTGCCTGGTCTACTCTACGGAGCTTCTACCAGCGTCGCTGTCTCAGAAAAACACTCACGTAGATGCGGTGTAGGCGGATGATTTCTGCCAGCGTAGCGACATCACTTCTGCAAATAACACGCACTAAGCCACCGACAAAAGCTCCCAGCAGAGCTGCATCCACACGAGGAGCTTGGCCAGAAACGGCAATTGCAAGGTGGGCATCTTCTGCACCCCGGCCAGCACAATTTGCAGCACAAACCCACGTTACGCAGCCCGTTCACAGTCTCTCATCTCCCACGGTAAAGAGCGCATCACTTGTTTAAAATAAATCATCAGTAATGCTTTTGAACAACGTATTAGCTGCATGTACAGAACAGTTTTCGGGAAGTTGAGCCCACGCGCCTTCAACGCAGAGAGCCTGCTTTAGAGATGGAGATGAAACGACTTACAAAAGGCGACGAATTCGCAGCCGACGGACTTTTTGCCAAGAAAGGGCCCGGGACCTCCCACGGCACGAAAGTCTGCCTTTCCTGACACAGCAGAACCGAAGCCGGCTTCGATCGGCTCTTCCAACAGGCCAGCGTTGCGGTAACCATTAACTCTTTGGACAACGTTATTACAAAATAATTAGCCACCTGCCAATTCAAGGTTAAAGCAAGCAACCGGAGGTGGGAAGGAAAGGCCGGGGCCGGCGCAGTGGGGCGTTTTGGTGAAACGCGCAGACCAGCGCATCGGGGTTTTGGTAGGGCTTGCAAACGGGTGAGATTTTGTTCCCGGCCTGCTCCCACGCAGCTCGCGTGATCGCCATCGCCGCTCGCTTCGGAAACGCCTTCACGCTGGCTTTTCCCGAGCTCGCTCGCGTGCTGCCCCCCACCCGGTGCTCACAGCCAGCTGGCAGGCGTGGCGGGAGCCTCGGCGGCCGTGCCCCTTCCCGCTGTGACCCCGACCTCGGTGGGGTCCACACGGAGCAGAGGGGCCGCCCCCACGTGCTCCCCTTAACGCTGAGGGCCCGTCTCTGTCCTATAAACGGGAGCAACAGGCTCTTTCCAGCCTGGCATCACTCTGTGGGCTGAGGCTGGATGCGTTCAGTGCATATATCACTAATGCTCCAGGGAGAGATACGCTCTGTCCCGTGCAGGGCTACCACCCTGCTCCTGCTGCTGACCAAGCGAGGGGCTTCGCAGCCCAGCACGCTCGTTACAGGTAATCGCTGCTCTCACACGCGCAAGTCCCGGCTGCCGAGAGGGCTGGGGAAGACGCTGCCCTGCGCTACGCCCCGGGCGAGCACCCCGGCAAACTCACGCAGGCAGCAACCAAGTCCCACGGAAGGAGACGGGAGTCCTACCCTGAGGGCAGAGGACCAGCACGCTCATCACACCTCCCAGGGCCAAGCCCTGGCACGCTCAGTGCACGGAGCCACCGCTAATCCCAGCCGGAAGAGGTGGGGAACAACATTACCCCTGAGCGCCCCCTCCAAACCTCCTGCATTTTTGAAAGAGGGTGGGCAGAGCCCCCCAGCTTCCCCTCTTCAAGGCCAGCGTCTCCCACGCAGCCGCTGCAACCTTTATTGGCCCAACAGCACGGGGCTGAGCCTTCGCAAACTCAGCGCACCTCCCAGCCTGCTCCCCTGCAGGGCTGAGCCCCTGCAAACTCTGCGCACTGCCTGCCCCCTTGGGGGCCTGAGCCACTGCAAGCGCAGCGCACCGCCCGGCCTGCTCCCCTGCGGGGCTGAGCTCCTGCAAACTCTGCACACTGCCTGCCCCCTCGGGGCTGAGCCCCTGCAAACTCAGCGTGTCGCCTGCCCCCTTCAGGCTGAGCCCTCACAAACTCAGCACACCTCCCACCTCGCTCCCCTGCAGGGCTAAGCCCTCCCAAACTCAGTGTAGCTCCCTTCCCTTGCCCACCCCTGAGGGGCTGAGCCCCCGCAAACTCAGCATACCTCCCACCCTGCTCCCCCCATAGGGCTGAGCCCTCGCAAACTCAGTGCGCCTCCTGCCCCCGTGGGGCTGAGCCCTGTAAACTCAGCACACCTTCCCACCCCCCCCCCACCACCACCCCCTTGCCCACCCCTGAGGGGCTGAGCCCCCGCAAACTCAGCATACCTCCCACCCTGCTCCCCCCATAGGGCTGAGCCCTCGCAAACTCAGTGCGCCTCCTGCCCCCGTGGGGCTGAGCCCTGTAAACTCAGCACACCTTCCTTCCCCCCCCCAACCCCAACCACCACGGGGACAAGCAACCGCAAACACAGCACACCTCC